GATGTTATGCGGCTCGTTTAATGAATCGCTGACCGACTCCGTGATCAGCCGTAAAACCGTGATTCTGTCCAAATTTCCTATAAAATCTTAAATGATTCCCTTTGAGCTAAATTGACCTGTTTCCCTTACATATATTGGTGGAGAATGCGGGCAGTTTAATCTAAATTGTGAGCATAAACCAAGTTATTTCATCTTTTCGATTGCTGCGGATGAAAGATTAGAAGCTTCTGAGTCGAGACTAGTGTGTGTGACGTAAGCAGCGCACGACCGCTTGAATTAATGAACTGAATGAATGCAGAGAAGGCTGTAACTCGAGTCCGCCTCTCCATTGTTAAACCGCAGTAAGTGAACTTAAAGTTAACATCTGAGAACGTTCCTCAATCTATTTATCAAAGCCTTATTCATAGCTTGATTGCCAGTCCGTGTTCCATTGCCCAATCAACTATGCTATTCGACTTCCTGGGTTAAAACATTCGAGAATAATGCTTGCCTGTTTGTGTCTGTTCACAAAGTGAATTTAATCTCACTTAACACTGCGTGTGTCAGAGCGTGATTTGAATGGGAGTGTTTTAAAAGCTTGATCAAGTAAATTTTAACTTTGTACCAACAGCGAAGAAAACCTGTTGTGTTTACGTGTCCAGAGAAACTGGCATGGAGATTTCAGATCCGCCGAGATCGCTATCACTGTTACCCTTAACTGCAGCACGAAGCTGCTATTTGAATAAAGTTAAATTTAACTCCGAACGAACTGAGAGTTTAAGCGCCACACCTCAAAACCATCTAAAATGGTGTTTGTTATTTGTACAGTGTTGAAATGCGCCAACATTTCATGTTACATGCTTAACTGTACTTGCAATGCAACAATTCACGTGCTAGTCCACTAGTTTGTTTTGGTTGCCATAGTTACTATCGTGACACGGAAGTCTTAACCTACTTCCGGAGCAACTCTGAACTGTGCACGCGCAGCACAATGACGCTATTGTAAACAAACTCCACGGTGTTGCTAAGCTAACGAAACGGTTGTGTTTACATTGAAGAATATGCTAAAGCCATTAGCCTCAAAGGTTAGCAGTTAGCATTAACATCCAGTGGTTGAATGCAGTGTCTGTAGGGGCAACGCTAAAATGAGTTAACCCTTTAAACATATCAACTAATACACTTGTTGGTCTCTTTCTCTTTGTTATTTCTCCCTTTTCTCACTTCTTACCACTTTATCTTATTTTACTAGAAAGGGAAATACTGACTCACAATTATTAATTGTGCCAAATTCAAATTTAATTAAAACATTAAATTTATTTGGAATCATTCAAATTTCCCCCTCTGATCATTTCATATGATCATTATTTCTAGTATTCCTTTTTGGGCCTAATCATTTTAGGTACAAATAATTTAGGTACATAATAACTTAACTTATTCTACCTAATTGATTTCATTAGCCATCTCAATAGATTCTATTCAGACTCATACTTACTCATTATTTTATTGCGTTTTACCACTCTTTCTTCCTGTTTTGGTTATACACTTAGCCACTATTGTTTTATTTATTGATTTCCTTCTTTATTTAATTTCATTTTTGCTTATTTTGCCCATTTTTTATTTTTTTAAATTTACTTTGTCTTACCATTTTCTTTCCTCTGTATATCCTAGCTTGGGAACGACACACCTGAGCCCTTAATAGGAGACAAATAAATTTCAAATAAATTAGAAAGACAACGGTCTTTCACATAAATTTTATTTTTGTTTGATTAGTTGTGCAGCAACTAAAAACAATTCTCTACTCGTAGTTTGGTATAATAGAAACAGAGCCTGCTAGTGTACCCGATCCACTCAGTTTACTGAGTCTCCTTCCCTTCTCTCCTGTTCTCTCCTGCTTTCTTTCCTCTTTACTCTTCACATGCGTAGGGACCTGTAAGAACCATCAATCAATTCTATGTGAATGAAATACATAATCTTGTCGAAGAAGACGAATCATCCTTATGAATTTGATTGTAATCAACCCCTCCTTCGTTCTTCCTAACCTCCCTACATTTGGAAACGCAATCCAAATTTTAGCATCTCATCCAACGCTGAGATCAATTTAATAGAGATAAGTGTTGAACAACTGTCGCCTTCGCAGCCTCCCTGGTGAGCGGCCCAACTGTAAGGTGTACGGTGTCAATCCTGTCAGACTAAGAAAAGAGATATCAACATTATTATTGTATTTTTTTGTCTAAAACAGAGATTTAATAATGTTGTTTACCTTTTTGATAACATTTAATTGGAAAAAAAGAGAATTTTCCTCATTTGAAAACTGAAATGTTGCTTAGCATTAAATTTGTTTCTCACCTCTTTCTCTATTTTCCTCTTCTTCATTAGAGTGACGAAGTCTTCACATCCCTAGTCTACCTAGACACCCTGAGACCAGCAGTCATCACCACACTTCGCTAGTGGTTCACAATCACGGACACAACACTTATTTGTCCCACCACACATAGGCTTCTACTCCACACAGATCTGTGTCAGTCTCTCTTCTCCCCAGCGTGCCAACATGCCGCAGACTGCAGACCCCATTGCCCATGGGGAAGATGTGAACACTTGGCTGAGAGGCATGACAGACAGCCTCACCCCCAAGACATTTGAACTGTTATTATTTTTAATAATAATCCTAATCCTGAGAAGATTCCTGACACAAGATTCAAGCCAGAACAACAACCACGAGGAGCTAGTCAAAATCACCAGCTCCCTAAGCTACGCCTTCACAACCCAGCTGAAACTGAGCGACAAGCACATCACCCACCTTCAAGAGGAGCTGAAACGTGCTCAACGCCGCATAGACAAACTGGAAGTGAAAGTTCAAGATCAACTCAAAGCACCCAACGAGAGGGAGCCGGAAACAACGGAACAAGTTAAGAAGCTCAGCTCGACCAACAACATGCAAAGGCTGCCCAGAAAGACCTGGTAAACAGACTCTAGTATGCCGAACAGCTACTAGAGAAAGCCAAGAATCACATCAGAGACAAGAATGCTGAAATCCGTACCTTGAAAGACCACCTTGAAAGGTACATAACTGAAATGGACAATCTGACCCAACAACTAGACGATACCAACGATGAGCTCTACATGGTCAGAAAAGAACTCAAAGATGCTTATGAGCTGAAACAAGAGCCAAGAAAAGAGAAGCATCTCTCAGCCTCACCACTGCTGAGCAGAGCAGAGTCCCACGTCCAAGAACTGGCATACAATGAAAGAAGCGAAGGGCCACAACCCAAAACCTCACTTGCCTTCTCCACACAACCCTTTCCTGCCAAACCTCCTTAGAGCCACGTCCAGTCCTGAGGTACGAAACTTCCTAAATTGACAGCACAGTCAAACAAAGTCAAACTACCGGCTACTTCGTGAGGTCCTGATTAAAGAGTTTACAGACCTGAGTCTGAACATGGACTGTTAACTGCCTTGGAGATCAAACAAGGTCGACAAGAGACTCCACAAGCCTACTACAACCGACTCCGACAAGCCTACTTTGGTGCACACAACAAACCTTACCTTGAAGAGGATGTGAACTTCAAAAGCCTCTTCCTATGAAATCTGCACCCTGGAGTCAGCCACCATCTTGGCGTCATGGCCTGTCCACGCTCCATGACCATCCAACAGTTGCGTGACCTAACACAGAAGGCCTACAACAAGCAGAAGATGGCCTCAAAGAAAGGTAACAAAACATCCACACTCTTGAACTCTGTAACCAAAGACTCAAGCTTTGCACTGGACGACACCCAGTGGCATCACGACACCAGAGTCCTCCATCAAGAGCACAGAGAACGTGACCCCCATGTCCACAACAGCCCTACCGCTGGAAAAATCCATGGGACCAGCCACGCTTCTCGAGAAACCCAAAAGATAAGAACAACTGGAAACGTAACCAGACATCCAAAGGTATTCGCCTGACTCATCCAAGAGCAAATCGTGTGGGTAAGCAACAACAAAACCCACCTCAGCACCACTCAGACATGCACAGTGCTGAGTATGCACAAGAACAATACAGCTTACCATCAGAAGACATGGAACAAGTCATGAGACAAATGAAAGAGTTCCTTCAAGAAAAGCTGAACATGGATGACCACAAAGTTGAGTCATGCTCGCTGTGACCAGCGACAGAACGGAAGGCCGGTGATCACCTGGTACACCACCATATCACCCGCGCGATCAGTTCTCCTTGCACCTTCACGTCAAATATACACACAAAGCTGTCAAAATGTCCATCGTGTGGAGTATCTCACGTAAATACAGTCGGTTATGGCTTAAGTGAACTTAAACAGGTGGGTGAAAACCAAATGTGTGTCAATATATTACATTCATTCGGTCTTAAAGGGACAGCAGCCTGTCTGTCTCATCAATGTTTATCAAACAACAAAAGATGTTAAATACATGTATGCATGTTAAACCTACTGTATTAGAAAAGCGAGTGTATTTAATATTTAATTTGTATCCATTGTATTTGTCTTATAGTTTGTAATTTGCTTCTTTATTTTTATATAAGAACAACTATGTACAGGTGTGTGTGTGTGTGTGTGTATATATATATATATATATACAGTGCCGTGAAAAAGGTTTTGCCCCCTTCCTGTTTTTTAAATTTTTTGCATATTTGTCACACTTTTCACACCACTGTATATATATATATAATTTAGATATCATGAAATAAAATTTCTCATATCGTGGTCATATGTAAGAAAAATATATACTTTGTCATTTATTTATGGAGAAAAATGATCCGGTTTTAAATATTTGTAAGTGGCAAAAGTATGTGAATCTTTGCTTTCAGTATCTGGTGTGACCCCCTTTTGCAATAACTGCAAGTAACGTTTCTTGTAACTGCTGATCAGTCCTGCACAACGGCTTGTAGAAATTTTAGCCCATTCCTCAGTTTCCTCCTATGAACTGCTTGCTTCAGGTCCTTCCACAAAATTTCAATTGGATTAAGGTCCAGAATTTGACTTGGCCATTCCAAAACAATAACTTTGTTCTTCTTTAGCCATTCTTTGGTAGAATGACTTGTGTGCTTGGAGTCGTTATCTTGCTGCATGACCCACTTTCTCCTGAGATTCTGTTCTCGGACAGATGCCCTGCCATTTTCCTTCAGAATTTGCTCGTATAATTCAGAATTCATTGTTCCATTAATGATGGCAAGCCATCCTGGACCAGATGCAGCAAAACAGGCCCAAACCATGATACTGCCATCACGTTTCAAAGATGGGATAAGGTTCTTATGCTGGAATGCAGTGTTTTCTTTCTCCAAACATAATGCTGCTCATTTAAACCAAAATGTTCTATTTTGGTCTCATCCATCCACAAAACATTTCTCCAGTATTCCTCTGGCTTGTCCACATGATCTTTAGCAAACTGCAGATGGGCAGCAATGTTCTTTTTGGAGAGCAGTGGCTTTCTTCTTGCGACTCTGCCATGGACACCGTGGTTGTTCAGTGTTCTCCTGATGATGGACTCATAAACATTAGCCAATGTGAGAAAGGCCTTTGGTTGCTTAGAAGTTAGCCTACAGTCCTTTGAAACCTAGTGGACTTTTACACATCTTGCTTTTAAAGTGTTCTTTGTTGGTGGACCACTCCTGGGGAGGGTAACAGTAGTCTTGAATTTCCTCCATTTGTACACAATCTGTCTGACTGTGGATAGGTAGAGTCCAAACTCTTTAGAGATGGCTTTGAAAACTTTTCTAGCCTGATGAACAACATCAACTCTTTTTCTGAGGTCCTCAGAGATCTCATTTGTTTGTGCCATGATACACCAGGGCTCTACAGTGCGACCATTTCAGTCGCATTTGCAACTGAAAACTACTGCGTGCGACTATGAAAAAATATTTAGGAGCCCCAGTGCGACTGACCAGATCTTCATCATATTTGTGGTTGTGATGGCTGAGGGGAGCTTCAAAGGTTTCTACGTGTTTTTGCAGCGTTGAGTAATGTATCACAGACATATCTCATGAATCCTTTCATAAGCAAAGTGTAGATGGTGTAAATAAATGATTTATTGTGCAGTGTAGAGAGCTTCGTGATTATAAATGTGAGATCGCGATGAGCTAAGATGAGTGACAGCTTTTAATGATTGTTAAGGGAGTTTGTAAATGTGATACTGATTTAATACAACAGTTCAATAGACAAAAAGTTAATATTAAGTGACCTACATTGTCTGACTATAACACTATTGTCTGATTTTGCTCCATTTCATCGTCGAAAATAGTTTGAAACAAAGTCACAGCTCAACCGCTACGCATCTCCATTCAAACACAGCGGTGTCTCGTTTATGAATGAACTGCATTTTTAAACAAATCTAGTGAGTCAGTGATTCATGATTACCCATCATAAATACTGTCATTTGCTTCATTCCTGAATGAATCAGCCATTCGAATGAATCAATTGAATGAATGATTCAGTGATAAAATCAGTGACTTGTCACCACCTGCTGGCAGTTTGTTTCATTTTAAAAGTATCTTTTCAGTTATTTAAATAATTTAATATT